CGTTGTATTGAAATATTTAAAAACACTCCTGCCGCCAGCAATATTATTCACTAGAAATTTCACAAGTAATTTGATGTAAGAAATATTGTTTGTTTTCCACTTTTTCTGATTAATTAAATCAAGCATTCATGCGACATAAAATGCACATGGGTCAAATAATGCGTTATGATTAATAAAATTCATTAAAGAAAATTGACAATGAAAATAAAGTTATTATTAGGTCACAGGTACCAATCTAAACTCTCAAATCTCAAGTTATAATCAAATAAAAATAATTAGAAAATTAGTATATTTTCTTAACTATACTTTTATACATCACTTTCTTAATTGTGTTTGATATTTATCAACTAAAGATAATTTAGTAAATTACATATTATATTTATTAATTTCTGATTGTGATTTTTATTTTAGTGATACTTATTTAGTTATTTTGAGACCAAACGAATATCATTTTACCATCTTTACTTTGGTCATTTTGTGGGGCCATAGTTAAAATCTTGATTATAGTCCTTCTACAAAATTATTACAATCATTAGGGAAATTAATCCCCTCCCACATACAAAGAAAATTAAAGGAGAGTATACAAAACTTTAGTCTAGTATAGCAAAAAAAAAATCAAGGCTTTTGTATTTTAATTGGTCTAGTATATTTGATTAGTACTTTCAAATTTATTTTTAAGATATCAAATTTAAGTATTTTTACTAAGTTATGCAAAATAATCTCGATACGTCCACTTCAATATTTTAAATATCTGTAAAATATCAAGTATTTTTTTATTTAACATCAACTTCAAAAAAAAAAATCATGAACAAAATATCGTCCAAACGCCTACTAAGACGTTCAATTTAAAATAAACATATTATATTTTAAACCATTAGCTACTTATAATTGGAGAAGATTACAATTTACAAGTTGCAATTAAGCAAAGTTGTTTTAGGACAAGATGAGAGATAAATTACAATTATTCTAGAATGTTAAACTCTAAACTTTGACCATATGTCAATATAATTTATTGTTTAACTTAATTAAATTATAGATTTATGTATACTAAGGATAAGGTACTTAATTATAAATCCTTGATTAATAAGTCAATGGCCCATTGACCATGCTGGCTTGTCATTTTGCAACTAAAAATAAAACCAAAATATAAACCACATTGACTATTAATATTTCCCAAAAAGCTGTTGAACCCATCAAAAATTTGCAGTTTCATAATTAGATGTTCTTTACGTCCACATTTATTTGTCATATTGCATTTTTCGAGTGTCAATTTAACTAATATTCAAAATTAAATTAGATTACATTTATTCGATATTTAAAAAAATATAAATCAATAACTATACGAAAAGTACTATAAATTCCATTTTTTTGCATATCAATATGATGAGAAAAAACACTGTAAAATGTTAGTCAAAGTTTTTATAGTTTGACTCTAAAAAATGAAATTACGACAATTAAAAGTGGACGGAGATAGTATAATAATTTGCAGCTATTTAGGGAAACTTTTGATTTTTTATATATTACTTTTGGCCTTGAAATGTGGAAAATATTTAATAATATGAATGACAATAAAATATTTGAGGAATTAGTATTTTAAAATAATAGTCAAATAATCTTTGTTAACATAATCCTAAACAAGAGGGGTCCCCTTAAACATATTTCGAAACAGATCCATAAATTTAAGGAATAGCAATACTTAATTAATTTATTTTTTTGGTCTGAATATTAAATTATTTTAATCTAACTTTTGCCGAAAGCATGTAATAAAAGGATTCGTTTTGCTTGCTGGTAAATACAATGTTACAAAGGATTACTTAAAAGATACTATATGTATTATATCATAATAATTCTACCACATTGTTGTGTGAAGCCGTCCATGAGGGTGGATTAAGCAGGACTGATAGACTTTTAGGTGGTAAGTAAGTTTTTAGAGATAAACAATCGATAATATCTTAAAGGAATTTCACATCGAAATGAAAAAAGAAAATGAACAATTGTGTAGGACATAAATCAAGTTCACATTGTACGCATGCTTTTTAGGGGTCGATGTACATGTGATAGAGCACGAAAGAAAAATTCATGTGAGCTAGGACCAAAGCAGACAATACGTGTCATGAACTTGAATCGTGAAAAATATTGCACCTTGACATGGGGTGGATTAATATGACTGACATATTAATTTCTAGGCTGACAAATTTCTGAAGATGGGTACGCATGTCATCTTATTAGGCGAATCTCATATTTAAAGGGAGATGAAAATGAATAATTTTAGAAGGCACGATTCAAATTCACACGACATGCATAGCTTGAACGGCAAATACATGCAACCTCGGTCCAAAATGGACAATACATGTCATAAATTTAGATCGTGATAGAGCAAGTCAAAACTAAGACGTTAAAAACTTAGGATTTGTAACAATAATTAATTAAGATGAAATCATAAAAATTATCGTCGTATCAGAGATATAAAAGGAAAAGTTGGTAGTTATATATAGCTCATTTCTTTTAGTTTTTTCAAATAGAATAAAGTGATATATCTTTCCAAAAAACACTTTTTTTAAAAAAAAGAAGGTATTTAAGAAATATAAAAGATAAACATAGTGCAATTTACGTGGACAAATTCCTGTTATTATCATATACATATAGTGAGATAAAGACATTTATTTATTTGTATTCCATTATCCAGATACACTTAATTTATCAATAATTCTAGGTCCATTATTTGATTATACTATAGCTAAACAAATAAATAAACACCTAACATTTAATTCTCAAGAAATTTGCTTTTCAATTAGATTCCCTAATTTTTATTTTGCATTTCCTTATTTTCTTATTCCCTTAGTTAAACTTTTTCTCCTCAGACTTTGGATTCCATGCTTTATTTTAAAAGCAAGTAGTAGTACATAATTTCCTAATTGTAACTTTCTTTTTTAGTTTCTCGAATTTCTGGTACTCCGGCTTTAAAGTTCAATTAATTCAGATGCACACATTTCACGACCTATTTTTTAAAGGAGGCACTTTAACATAATTTTTTTCAGGACCTGAATCTGAGACGACTGCTTTAGAATGAAAGAATTTCACTCATCCATCACAATTCATGTTGATACTAGCTGTAACTCTTTTTAGTAAAGGTATTGGTTTTTATCATAGGACATTTTTGTAGGGAAAATCATGAACAATAATGGGGACACATTTGTTTTAAAATCATTACAAACTTCTATACTAATTATATTAGAGAAAATCGGTGAAAACTTTACTTTTAACTGCTCCTTGTAGTGATTAAAGTAATGAAAAAGAATCTGTGTAATTATACACAAATCTAGAATCATTTTGGCACATAATTAATGGACAAATACATATACGAAAAAATAAAGGAAAAATTAAATTGAGAAAAAAGGTAAAAATACCATCGAATATCAGTTATCACTATAATAAAATAGTAACAAAATTGTAGTCGATATTTGTATTGTGAGAATATAACAGATACCTTAAGAAATTAGTCTGACATATTCAAACGCGAAAACATGACAAAATTGTACGTTATGATAAATAAATTACGTAGTAAATATGGATGATAATTAAAATAAATTTAATTATTGAAATAATTATTAAGAAGGAAATAAAATAAAAAATAAAAAATATGACATTGACAGCATTATTAATTATATATTAATTTGGTATGGAGTACGGTATGAGTACTAAATAAATAAATAGTTTACGTGTGCAGCTGTATCTACGTATGACATTAGATATTATTATCAGTATCAGTACAACTTAATAAATAGGAGTTAGTAGCTTTCACTGTTGCCATTATTAGTCATAAAACAAACAAAAAATAAAATAAAATATTTTTTTATTAATTATTTTAATAAATAAAAGTTCTCGTTGTTATGACTGATTTTAATAATAAATTTTTTTTTTGTTGTATATTGGATTGATTTTTTTTTCAATTTCACTTATGTGGAATGTGGTGAGACAGTGTGAGCATGCTAGGTTAGCAGTTTCGATTCGAAACTCCGATGAAGGAGGAGGATTGCAATAAATTGATGATCAGAGTAAAATTTGTCAATTCACGATAGTTAATTGATTATATTGCGATAGATTTGCCATCAGCAGAAAACTTGTCAATTTAATATTGGACCGATTTTCTTGATTTTCTTCTCTGCAGAATTATTATGTACCGTACCAGAAATATTATTTTTTATTTATCACATGACAAATAGTTTTAGAAGAAATAAAAAAAGATTTCAAAATAATAATTGACGTGAAAAGAGTAAAGAAACAAAAGAGAAAAACACAAAATTTTGGTGTAATATATTGCCAAGTCTTTTGTAGAGTTGATCTATGCATACTTAAAAATTACAAAAAAAACACAGCCAAAGATCATAATAGAATGATAAATACTTATTTACTTATAATTATATAGAGATTTGGAGCTCGAATTATCAGAAGTTGAATCATCTTTGATAAATGAATATTTTACCTACAACGAGACCTTATAATGCAAAATCAAACTTGTCAAACCCTAAAAAACAAATATCAAATACTAGGATATCAAAAATAAAAAGTAGAAATGGCATGAAAATTAAAACATTCAAACAAAACTTAAAAATAAAGACATTTCATCTTGTATTATCATGGATCTCTTCTATGTATACAGAAATTACATACACAGTTTTTCAAAGCATACTAATTAATTAAGACCAAAATACCCCCACCACCCCCACCTCACCTCCAAAGCTAGATGATGATCAATTATATTTTGATCCACAAAACCCCAAAAAATGTTCTTAATTCTTTTCTCCCCTTTTCATTTAATTTCCCTTCTAGTCACCATGACCAAAAAAAGAAAAAAAACATAGAACTAAATCAACCTAACACAAAATACCCTTAAGTCAATAAACAAAAAAAAAAGTTCTTACAATTACCCAAAAAAATGTACATGTGTTCATCCAAGAAATTAAGAAGAAGAAGAAGAATTAGTAGTACCCTCCCATAACCAAAAAAAAAAAGTTGCCAATATTTAATTTCTTCAAATAATCTTCATGGCAATCTCCAAGTACTCTTTAAACCAATGTCATTATGTTTTCTTGATGGACCAGAAGCTGGAATTGGGATTCTTTTTGGTAAGAAGTTCCAAAAATGGCCATGATTGTAAGAGTTTCTTTGGCTATTTATTGTATTGAATACTTGTGAGTTGCTTCTTGAACCATGACAAAAATGACCAAAAATAGAGATTAATATAATAGCCATCCATAAAACAAGTACTTTCCTTGTGAAGAAACTTATCATTCTTGAAACTTAATTCACTATGGACAATTTTGAAAGAGTGATACTTTAGAAAAAGAAGAAAACATATGTAAATCTATTGGCAAGTAAGGTTAGAAAGAAGGAAAGAAAGAAGAAGAAGAATGAAGACATATGAAGTAGAAAGTTTTGAAAAGTTTGACAAGGCTTTTTGAAAGGGGGCCATTTGGTTTGGGTTATTGAGAGTAATGACTTGATAGGTAATTGAATAAAGGGGGAAAAGAATAAAAAGGAAAAGAAATGGAAAAAGAAGAAAGAAATGATTCTAAGAAGTTATATAAATCGATAGTGATATGATCTGCGTATATTTTATCTTTTTAAAATTTTACTCTAGGTATATTTATCGTTATTATTATAACACGTCGCTAATAAGGAAACTTAAGTTATATACGCTAATAGTGATAATGTCTGAATATATTCTATCCCTTTTAAATCCAAATCATGGGATTAAACTTGGGTATATATATATAATTGTTGTTATAATTGTACATTGATAAAGTAAAATATACCAACAAGGGTTGAGGCAGAGTTATAAGTATTTTTCATCCTTAACAAAATGTTTCGAGTTTGAATATCCTTAAATATGAAGTCATCTAGAGAATGTTTTACCCCTTAATGTTGAACTTTCCAATGCAGATATTAGCCATCGAATGAAATATCAAATAATATATTTTAACTTGTTATAACAGACTAATTACTATTTATTTTAGGTTATCAAATATAACTTTTAACTTTCAATTTTATTTTTTTTCACTCCAAAAAAACTCTTTGCTTTTTTCTTCTTTATCAAATACCAACAAAAGAAATGAAAATAATTATATTAGTGGAAGTAAATCAAAGTTTTTTATTTTTTATTTTTTTGGTTGGGGGTGGGGGTATGTTGGAGAAGAGATGGGGGTTATGGCATTTTATGGATTAGGTGAGTGATTGGTCCCACTAAAATATTAATGGACAACTAAGGCTCTTTGGCACTGTTCCACAAAACAGGAAATCATGTCCCCTTTTTTATACTGTTCCTTTTGCTAGTGTTTGATTTGATGCTTTCCTTCTAAATACATATATATATGTGTGTAAAATCTCTAATGTTTTTATCACTTACTTTTTAATATTTTACTGTGCTATAGTAATGAAAATCAATTTTCATAAACTATGTTATCAACTTTAAACTAAAGAGTTTGAATATCAGAGTTGAGTTAGAGAGGTTGTTTATGTATTTGGCCAATAAAAAAAGTTTGTTTCATGTATTTTATTTTTTTAGTATGTCATTGATTATATTGATCACTTTAAACTGTGTTTTCAATTTTAACCTGTAGTTTTGAACATTAGGACAAGTTAGAGGGGTTGTCTATGTACGTATTTGGCTGATAAAAAAGTATACCATATAATATAGTTCATGTATCTTACACGTATATTCCATATAATTTAATATGTATGTATCAGTACATTACACATATATTTAATTTAAACTTAGAAGATTCAAATATCTTTTTTATTTCTTTTTTAATTGAGTGTCTGATTAAACTATCACACATACTTTCACTAACTAAAATATAGAATACAAAGTCTATAAATAACACTCTCAGAAGGAGTTTGTTACTGCTAATGAGTCAATGGATGTTACGTTTGTTTCTAATCGTGTGTATGAATCACCTACAATCATAACACTTATCGTATAATATGTTAAATCTAAGCAAATTAAATTTCTTTAAATGATACTCAATAATATTTCACAATTTATTATACGATATACTGAATCTAAACAATTAAGTTCCTTGAAATAATACTCAATAATATTTCACAAATTCTATTGACAATATCCCTAAGAAGGTGAAAAGCCTCGTTGTTATACATGGTTTATACATATATAATAAAATTAGTCCAATTCATCAAGAATATGGAGCACCTTATAAATCTTCTTTTGTTTTTTTCTTTCATAATTAATGTATAGTACTTTTTCCACCATTAATTACAGAGCCCACACCTTTGAAAATAGCTCCAAAATATAATATATATATATATATGAAGGTCAAAACTATTTAATATTTGACTTTGACATTATACACATGCTTGTTGATTGTTTTCAGACTCAATTTTTTAAAACCATACTTCAAATAGTTCCATTTGTCTTATTTAGTGTAACATATTTGAAAATGGACACAGTAAATTTAAGCAATTAATAATAACTTGATTTATATAATGTTACATAATATTAAACAATTAAACGTTACAAACTAGTACTAGTAGTCTAGTAGTACATAGTAAAATGTTTCACAAAAATCTCTACTATAGAAGTATTGCACCTCCTAAGAGACATAGGAATCGACATGTCCTCGTCTTTCACTCACCAAGCAGTGTGTACATAATGTACATAATATTAAACAAACTAAACATTACAAATTAGTACTAGTACATAGAAATCAACATGTCTTCATCTTTCACTCAGTAAACGATATGTACATGATATCTCTCGTTCATTTTGGATTTGGATATGATTAAGCGCGACCACTAATAAGCACTAGCGAACCTCCCCTCAACAAAGATTTGAATTCTAAATCTTAATTGTGAAATGTTAATTTTTTTTCTTAAACCTAAAAAATGTTATGTTAATATGTCTAATCATTATTAAATTTGATAAGAAGAAAGAGTAGCTAGAAGAATAGGGTTATGGGAGAGGAAAGTAAGAAGGTCAATGAAAGTACTGATTTTGATGCATAAATGAAAATGACAGAGATTTTGTTTTCTGACAGAGACTCTATTTACTCTGCTAGAGAGTCTCCTTTGATTTAGGATTTTGTTGGACAATTTTTATTTTTTATTTTTTATTTTTTATAGGAGTATATATTTTTGTAAAGTCTTTGTTGAGGTGGGGTGGGCCAAAAATATTGATTGGGCAACTCGGTGCACAGAGCTAGTATTAATGACAATTTTCATTATTTGCATTTGTGATTTGTAGGTTATACACAAGTGGGTGCTTGTAAGAGTCGATGAGTGCTTTAATCGTATTCTCTTCAGCTAGGAGTACATGGTAACAATTATTTTTACAAGTATATCTAATAAATGATGAAGTATCTTTTTTGATTTTTTCGTATGTTTACTTTTAATATTTCGAACCCTTTATTAAAAAAAATCTGGATTCACCACTGATAAAATGGATACAACTTGATTGTGTGAATATATTCAAAATGGTTTCTTATGTATATTTCTAAACAGTTTATATGTTTTAACAAAATTCTGATTGTTATGTGTTTTATTATTTCTCCCTACCCCACACCACAATTTTCGTTAAATCTAACTATTAGAGTTTGTTGAGTATTTTATAAAAAATAAAAATGCTTGTTTTTGACAAATTTAGAGGACCAAAATATATTTAATGAACCATTTTGACTCTCTTTTTTTTTTAAGATAAAATTGTTTATTCATCTTTCAAACAAAAAGGGACCATTGTTGTCATTTTCTCTCCTAATTTGAAATGTGTTTTGTTTCATCGTCCGATTTTCAAAATTTACTAATCAACTTATTCGAATTAGTGTCAATTAATCCATAGGAAAGTAAAAATGATATTTTAAAAAATATTATCATTCTTTAAGATAACTCAAACTAGCTAGACATTGGATCAAGAACAAAAAAAGCTCTAGCTATTTCCAACATTCCCTAATGGTAAAACCAAAAATGTCACATTATTATAATTGTATCAGTTCTAAAATTGAAAAAGGAATTGAATTGTATATGACGTAATCAAGAGCATCTGGTCAAGGATGTTTAAATTAAAAAAATAAAATAAACAAGGCGAAACACATAAATAGACGCTTCAAATTGTCGACAATGACTAGATAAACACTTTTGCTTGACACAAATGTAAACTTTAATTATTTATATGTGTGGCTAAATTAATAAAAAGTTTATAACTAGTAAAAAAGTAAGAACAAATCTTGTTCATTAGATTGATTAACGTTACTAAACATTTTTTGGCTCTCTGCACGCATCTTATTGCTGACAATTGTGGTAATATAAGTCCCTTTGGGGACATTCGATAAAATTGGGATGATACAGAGGGAAGATTAGCATGGCCCCTGCGTAAGAATGACATGCATAAATTGAGAAATTGTCCAAATTTGAAAAAAAAAAATTTAAAAAAATTGTGGTAATATAAATAAAAGTTAGGACAATAAAGTAGAAATTAATTTCCAGTTAAAGCTTTCATATATTCCTCTCTATGATAATGTCTTTCGTTCATATATGTTCTCTTAAACATTTTTTTGTAAGATTATCATGTTTAAAATTTCGATGATGTGCATATAAAGTAGTTTATATTCAGGTCTTGATATAGAGTAAATTATTGTTTTTCACTAAAAAAAATTTGTCGTATAGTACGCTGTTATCATGTCCTAGATATATTATGTGAGTTTCAAACGCCTCTGTTATGACTTGCAATTATTAAACCCTAAAATTTATCCTAGCTAGCTAATTATTAGAGCATTGCATAAATTTTTTGAATTTGAACCTTACAAATAATTTTATCATTTAATAAGAAGTGCTTACACGTGACATAAAACTTATAAAAATCTATTACTAGTTAGTAATAACATAACAATATATCCACTAATTAAATTTTACTATATGGGGTATGAAGACATTGAGTAGAGTGTACAAATATTTTATCACTACTTCGTGGAGGTAAGAAGATTGTTTCAAAAACACTTTCAGCTCGAGCGCATCAAACTCAAGTACACAATGAAGAAAACAATGAAAAGAGGATAGAAAATTCTACTACATGGGGTATGGAGAGATTGAGAAGAGTGTACATCACTACTTCGTGGAGGTAGAAAAATTGTTTCAAAAAGACCTTCCGCTCAAATACATCAAAAACAAGTACACAAATAAGAAAACAATGAAAAGATGATAGTAGTTAATAATAAAGCCGTGTAAAGTCTAAAAAAAAATACAAATAAAATAATGTGATAATCAAAACACAATCGACAACATATGACTAGTGCTACGCAACTATCTATGCAAAGCAAGATAACACTCTATCCCTAATAACCTTCTACTTATTACATGATATTACTAGCTAATTAATAAAGAAAACTAACTAGCGGCGTATAATAATTTTATATTATATATGGAAGTCCCAAAGGTGTTACTACTAATAATTACACTAGCTCAATATTGTACCATTTTCATTGAATCCAAGGTCCTATTTTGGAGGATATGCTAGACCAAAATAAGGTCAAGTGAATGATCTTTCATAATGGGTTGTGGGGGGGCGGTTCTATAATATATTAGGTGACCAAAAATATTAAATATTGCAAGAGTTAGTAACATTTAATTACTTCTATAAAAGATGGGACTTTTGGTACAAGAATAGTGTCCCTTTGATTGACTTCAAAACATATTTTTTCTTCTTCTGATGAATCAATCAAAGTTTTCAAACTAGGTCCCATTGATTTGAAATCTTCTTTTGATTACAATGGGGCCCTATGAAAAAGTTGAAAAGAAATTTTACCATTCTTAAAATTTTTGGATAAATTACAAGTTACTCCCCATCTTACACATCAAACTTGAAAAATAATTGTAGAAATATCATAAGTTAAGATTTTTGTTTGTTTGTATTTCATCTGGAGTCTAGTATCCACGTTCAGGTCTAATTGAATTCAAATTGGTAATGAAAAGTTTCACATTGAAAGGTAAAATACTTTCTAAAAAAGATAACTTTATAAATCAAAATCAATGTTTGAATTAGGAATCTCGAATTTTGAAAGAAGTTAGATTCAAATTGGTATCGAGTAGTTCCACATTGAAAGATTAAATACATTCCAACAAAAAACGATTTCATAAGTCAAAACCAATGCTCGAATTAGGAATCTCTAATTATGAAAGAAGTACTTACCATTTCACTGTCATCTATATCGGTATAATTTAAAGTTATTCATAACATATCTCCTATTCTCCTTTAACTATCACGATAATTAAAAGCAACAATATTGGAAAAAAGAAAAAAAAAAGACTGTTCTAATTTTTCCCTCTAGTATCATTGGGTTTACCAAAGAGATATAGTAAAAATAAGAGAAGGTGAAATGTTCTCCACTTTTTCATTGAAATGAATAGGAAAAGTTTCCCTTAAAAGTAAATATATAGTACTAATAATCAGACATTGGGGTAAAAAAAATGAAAAAAATTGACCATGGAGTTTTACATTTTTAAGATATTTTTTTTCTTCATATAATTTGTCAAGTAGATGGAAGACTCATTAAATTTCATTGAACTAGAGTGATGGTGTAAGTTAATTCACCCTTTAAATTCTTATTAATTGGTTCAAGTCCTTGCTTGACAAATTAAAAGCTTAAGACAAAATACTAAAAAAACATGTAAATGGGACGAAAATATCACACATTATTCTTCACTTATTATAATCGTAGGGTGGTTGGTTCAAAGTCAATTTAGTCCGGAACTTGTGGATGGAATATTTATCCCGGGATAAAAATGTAAAAATAACAAAAGTACCCCTTAAACCCTCTTTTATACATAGACAACTTATTCTTAGAGAGTATTTTTGTAAACAAACAATTTATTCTTAGAAATTATATCATCCATATTTGACAAACCAAACAACCAATAAAAATTAATCTGAACATAACTAATCCTATCATAGCTTATCTCATCATAATTAATCCCAAGCATAACTTGTCTTCAAACCAAGCGACCAATGAGCCCACCCATTACGGGTCTAATTAGGCTAAAGCTATACTTTTCATTTTACTAGAATCACCAAATACATAAAATATATAATCCAATATTCAATTATTATACCATCCGAATAATTAAAACGTAAATAAAACAGTTAAGTAATATAAGCTATTTTTCAATATGTATTGTTATTACATATTATTATTATTATTCTGTCTATTATGCATAAAAGGATACATAAATTTCTACATAACTTACCTAATTTTTATTTATATATTATGCTGAAATCTAATAAAGTTGTGGGGTTACTACAATTTATGGGCTTGGTGGCAATAGATTTGGGCCTCTAGCGAATGTAGAAAAGCCCATTAATGGGCATTCTATGGACTTATACTCCTTTTGGGCTTTACCCAATTTCAAAGGCGTGAAAGCCTATTAATTTAGCCAAAATAAAAATAAAAAATTAAATAAATGTTTAAAGAAAACAAATTAAGGATACTATTGTGTAAATAGTTTTATATTTGTTATGCGGGTAATGTTTATATTTACTATATTGTAAAAATAAAAAAACAACATATTGGTCATTATCATGAGATTGAGTTTTAAAGTGTGTATCGCAATTATACAAACATATTATAGTAATATTATTTACACTACAAAGTGAAAAGGTAAGATTTGCATATACTCTATCCTTCTTTAATCACTTACGGAATTTCAATGGATATGTTGTTATTAAATAATATAAGGAAAACAGTTGTCTTTTTTTTTTTATATAAAAAAAAATGAACTTCTAATATAAATATATAATAATTTAATTTAAATTTCTTAATACAAGATACTGATTGAAGTCAAATTATACAAGCATGAATATTAAAACATTAAGTTGGTCAAATTGTTTGATTTTTTTCCCTATGAATAATTTAATGAAAATATATTTTAAAATAAAACTTCAAATACAAACAAATGTTAATTTAATTTGATTTTTCAAGTACAAGATCCTGATGGTAGAAAATAATGCAAGGATGAATATTAAAACAATAAATTGGTCAAATTGTTTGAATTTTTTTCCCCTATGAATCATTTAAGAATATAAAAATATATAGATGTTTGAATTCAAAGATTGCATGTGAGCTAAGATTGGATTAGATTAGATTTATTATAAAGTTTTAGGTCGGCGCAATTTATGTTATGTAATATATTCTTAAATATAGTCAAACCTAATTTTTATAATATCTACCTAGAATATTTAATTAACTAAACTTACTAGTATCAATTAGTCAAATTACTAGACCTTAGGCTTACTTTCATTTTTTATCCTCTATTATACATTTGACAAACAAATTGAATATGGTGATTAAGCATTATTTTATTTTATTTTTAAAAAATTAAGTTATATACAATGATAATATCATAAAGATATTTATACTATTAGTATATATTAACATGTAAATTTATAATTTAATCACTATTTTAGAAGGTTACTAATTAATAATTACATGTATAAGTTATCTCTTTTAATTAATATTTTTTTTATATAACTATATACTATTTAAACTCGAAATTTATGGCATTAATCTCTAATTAATTGACTGGATAAGAGTAATGTCACATCTAAATAATTATGATGTCCATAGATATTAGTGGCCACAAATTTTATTTTTAACATCGAGGATCATATTAATTTGGAACAAGAAAAAGAAATTAGCCGATAAAATCTCAAATAAGTAGATTACTAGAAGTTGAGATTGCCTTTTGTCAAAACAAACTTGACCTGACGTCCCAACTAATTTAGATTCGCATCGTATAAGATTTTATTTAGAGTGAAAATACTTTGGATCAAGATTTTTTTTAAAATTCAGAACTCAAACATGAAATTTTGAATTAAAAAAATAGCAGTCCTACGTACTGCACCACATTTATTAGTGATTCTTTATACTTTGTTATCAATTAAGAAATATAGTAAAGTATGAATACATTGTTTCACATGGAAAAATATTCGATACACCTAACATTTATCAAAAGAGTTTGAAAAGTAAAATACAAAAATAAAAAAAGATGTAGCAAAATAAATAAGAAAATGATTACATGCCAGTCAAAGCAAAACAAAAAACGGAATAATAATAACAATAAAATAGTGTAATAATTAAAACACAAAAACAATATATAGTCGTAATAAAAATCGAAGGATAATAAAAATTTACAAAAATGATGCTAATGCTAACGACGTGAAAGAATAAATAGATACAATGCATCAAACTATCAAATCTATCCCATTAAAAAAGCGAAATAACACACAATACATGTACTAACTTTAAACCTTCCATCGTAATTTACAACCACGATATTCTCCTACCTTGAAATAACATAGACAAACCTATTTGTTTGTAATATACGTCTTCCAAATGTAAGTAAGGTGGGTGGAAGACTAACTC